CTGGTCTCCCCCTGTCTCTGGGGTGAGCCCTTGGGCCTGTGACCTGTGGAAACGGGGTGCTGGTCTCCCCCTGTCTCTGTCTCTCGGGCGAGCCCGGGGCCTGTGACCTGTGACCTGTGGAAACGGGGTGCTGGTCTCCCCCTGTCTCTGTCTCTCTGTCCCCCTGTCTTACACTCTCTCTCCCCTCGGATCACTCTCTTACACTCTCTCTCCTCTCTGATCACTCTCTCATCACTTTCTTACTCTCTCCCCTCTCTCTGATCACCACTTTCCTCCTCTCTCTCTCTCTGATCCTCCCTCTCTCTGATCTTCACTCCCTCCCTCCCTCTCTCCTCTTCCTTTGTTCTCAAAGACCTGTCTTCCCTCTCCAGTCCTTCACCTCGCCCCTGAATTCCAGGAGCCGATTTTGCTAACGGGCACAAGCGGAAACCCTGATTTTCTTTGTCTTTGCTGGCGAGCGGTGCTGCTACATTGATCTGATGGCGGTGCTAATTGGAGCGTGTGCGCGGCCGGCGGTGTGTCCCCCTCTGGAGGGCGCGGCGGCCAGCAGGACGGGCCGGCGGCGAGATGAGAAAAAAAGGTAGAAGGGGGCGTGTTTCGGGCTGGGGGTGGGAGGAGCTAACAGGACCGGGGCGTGGTCTCACAGCTGCTCCTTCTCCGTCTGGGAACGACAGAGGGGCGGGGATTGGAACGCACCGGGGGGAGGGGTTAGAATCCTGGGGCGGGGGCGGGGGGAGGGGTGTCCCGGGGCGCCAGTCAAAAACTAGTCCCCGGCATGTGAGCTTTTCTCATTCATACAAGGCAGCCGTCTTCAAAGAGAGCCCCGCTGAAAAGCAGCTGGATTACGGGGGATTAGGTGCGAGGGAAGAAGAGAAAGGAAGAGTTGACAGGAGGCAGACGCGTTAAGCAGATCGGCGAGCGAGAGAGATCCTTAAAGCAGATTAGCCGCCTCTGAGCAGAGATCTGAGGAAAGCTAGCTAACGGCGAGATCGCTGGAGAAGAGGCGCTCACATCTCCCAGGCATCGAGCAGGACCGCGCTCGGCACACCTTGGAGAACCCCGGCAGCTCCACCGACTCCCGGAGGCAAGGGGAAATAAGAGGCCAATTGATTTCTCCCCCCTGAGCAACCTGGTGTTCTGTTCTCACCCCGGACGATGGAGGGCAAGATTCCCGACTTCTCTGGCAACTGGAAGATGAAGAGCTCGGAGAATTTCGAGGAGCTCCTGAAGGCTCTGGGTGAGTGATGCGGCGATTCCTGCTCTCAGCCCGGCCGGGGTCTCGGCGCTTGGAGCTCGGGGTACTGGGGGGTACAGCCTCGCTGTTTGCTCGTCTTCATCAGCACATCAGCACCCCCTACACTCCCCCTCCCCACACCCAGATCGTCTCCCCGACTACCCCCCTCCCCGCGGCCGGCGGCGATGCAGAGACCCGGGTCGGCCTGTCGGTGGCGCCCCGGAGCGCGGGCGGGCAAAACCGTCCAGTGACGATCGCCTGGCATCGTGAAGCCGTGTGTGTGCGCGTACCTGTACCTGTGTGTGTGTCTGTGTGTGCGTGTGTGAGTCTATGTGTGTCTGTGCCTGTGTGCGTGTACCTGTTCCTGTGTGTGTCTGTGCTTGTGTGTGCGTCTACGTGTGTGTCTGTGCTTGTGTATGTCTCTGTGTGTATGTGCTTGTGTGTGCCTGTGTGTGTGATTGTGTGTGTACCTGTACCTGTATGTGTACTTGTGCCTGTGTGCGTCTGTTTAAGTGTGTGTGTGTACAGGTGTGTCTATGTGTTTAAGTGTGCCTGCAAGTATACAGTAAGAGTGTGTGCCTGTGACTATAAGTGTGTATAGATGTGTGTATATGTGTCTGTGTGTATAGGTGTGTCTACCTGTTTAAGTGTGTGTCTTTCAATATAAGTGTGTGTCTGTTTGTGTAGGTATGCGTGTCTGCATGTATAGGAGTGTGTGTGTGTTTGTCTTGTGCCCTTAGGTATGTGCGTGCCTGTGTGTGCAGTATACTGTAGGTGTTTGGGTTTAGGTATGTGTGTGCCTGCTAATACAGGAGTGTGTGTGTGGGTATATGCATTTCTGCATGTATAGGTGTGTGTCTGTGTATTGTGTGTGTGTGTAGGTGTGTGTCTAAGTATAAGTGTGTGTGTCTGTGTGTCTATTCTTTAAGTGTATGTATCTACAGTATGTGAGTAGGGAACAAGTGTACTATTTCTGTACCCTGGTGTACTACAATATACTGCAGTTTACCATGATGTCCTACAGTGTATTGAGGTCCAGAGTGATGTGTCCAAGGCAGACGGGTTTGCAGTACATCTCTCCTGGTTCAGAGAAACAGACAAGGAAGAGACAGAGATCTAGAAAGAGAGAGACAGACAGAGGGAGGGAGAGAGACAGAGCAGGCAGAGGGAGAAAGAGAGAGACAGACAGAGGGAGGGAGAGAGACAGACAGAGGGACCTGAGACACTCCTCTCCCCAGTGCTCACGATGATCTGAGGAGACTGAAGAGCTGCAGACGTGACTGAACTCAGACCCTCAGCCTGGGACAAACAATCCTATTCTTCTCTCTCTGCCGTTTTTTTCCAACACTGGTATCTCGTCCAAGAAATCGGAGGAAGACGCCTGCTAGACAGTTGCTCGTCATGCGGTCGGCCGCCGGATGAAAAAGCTCGATTGTTCCTCCTTGAAACCGGAGCTGTCGCGCAGGTTCTCCTCGTTGCCACGGCTCGTCATGGAAGCTCGGCTGCCAGGCATTTAATTAGCATCATGTTGGCAGCCTCACCCTGCTGGCTCTGCGCTGTCTCACCCTGCTGGCTCTGTGCTGTACCGCACTGCACAC